CTAGACAGCGGATTTCTGTCGGGCTACGTCACGATATAGGTGGGGACGCGCTGGATCGTCGGGACTCAGTAGCGGGTGATAGATAATCACTGAATTTAAACATTACTTATTCCATAAATACAATTAACGATTTATTAATCAAACGGCTAAGTATATGAGAATTGGAATTAACAGCAGAGTGCAACGAAGCAGCGGTATTCTATTCTCAAATAAACGAAGTGTAGCCCGTAACTGCAATGAATTCCCATCCCGTACGAGCCGTACCGAGTTTGGCCTTGTCTAGCCCGACAGAAATCCGCTCTCTACTAATTACAGAGCGCTTAATCAAATGACAGTTATGTTTGGTAGATGGAGCCACAAATTTTCTTACAATTGATGGGGATCATTTGACCTGAGGGGATCATTTTAGGCACTTTTCCCCTACGTTTTTCGATCCCAGGTTCAAAAAAACGGGATTTGGAATAGAGGGAAACGTTAATAATTAAACAGTTCGTTATAAAAGTACCGTTTTTTGTTTCCTTTCCGGATGTTTACACTTTTTTTTAATTTTTGTTGATATACTTACTTTTTTTAATTTCATTTACATATTCCAAAAGATGTTGTGTTCTTATACTTTAGTTCGTTTATTTTGTATTAATTTTTATTCGGAATAAACGAATATTTTAATACGTACTCGACGCACTTTCACATCACTACACTTCCTCATTTTATAATTTTAGTGGCGATGTCGCTTTACTGTGTAACGGGCGATAAATTTACTTATTTTTGGAGATGTTGGTATGAATCAGAACAATCGTCATTGTCGTAAAAATCAAGGTTGTCCTTGTGAAACTTGGATTTTATGATTTCACACCATTCTAATCAAGGTTTATAATTTCACAGTTAAATATTGGCGCCGTTTGGCTGGACACGATGTCTTTGTCCAGTTTTATAATTTCATGGTTTAAATTTGTTAATTTTAACAAAAAGCACATTTTGCCACTAAAAATCTTCATATGACAGTTAATTAAGCCTAATTTGGTGGACACACAAATGCTTTTACGACTCCCCAAATAAACTAGTAACTAGTAAACAATTTTGCGAAAACAACTCCTTTGGAGGGGTCTTTACTTATTAAAGATCGAAAGATCCAAAAAAGACCAGAGTCCTCTAGCCAGTTGCCTGTTTAGTGTGTGTTTGTGTTGTGACACAAGGGGGTAAGTGTTAATATCTCCAAAAATGTGCACGATTTCATAAAAAGTTCAAAGTTTTGTTTTTATTAATATTTTTAAAGTTCAGTTTAAATTTGATGATAAATCGCCCTTTGTATTCTTGATTGGATAACGTTTTGAGATTTATATCTATTTTTAAAGATTAATTTGCATTGAAATTATTAGTTAAACAGTTATATTGTTTGATGAACGCTGACCACGCAACTACTATAATGTTCCTTACCAAATGTTTGAGTTGTTACCAAATTTTGAGTTATGGTACCAATTTTAAGTTTTGTTATATTTTTGTTTTAGATTTTTTTTAAATGTTTGTTTTATTATGCTTTCAAAGATTTAGTTTCAAAGTTATAAGGTTTTCTTGAATTTATTTAAAAATGTTTTAATACTGAAGTTCATTTTCTGTTAATTATATTCGCATATTAAACTACACTACAGTTTATTGTTATTCCAAATTTTTCTCATATGACTAAATTTCTTTTGTACATACTCATTTCTAAATTAAATATAATTGTTCATTTGAGCAAAATGCATATACTTGAAGTAGTCCCTTTGTCCAGTCACTAGAATGTGTTACCATCATCACGAACCAGCCTACGAACAAATAAATAATATTTTCACTATATATCGGGCACAAGGTCCACGACAAGAGTTTTACAGTTAAATACTAAATTAACAAAAGTTAATTTTGAAAATCTCCCAAGCCCGTCACAATTGCTCTACCCCCGATTTGCAGATCGCGTAGAGCTCCTTGTCTACACCATCGACCAAATCACTGATAAATATAAACAAATAAACCAAACCAAGACAGACTTGCCGATATTTTGGGTCTTTTCATACTTCATGGAGCCCCAAATTTTGAATAGCCTCCCTAATGTCGTTATGTTGGGCTACAAAGCCGATTATGACAATTATCCGTGGTTTCAAGATGGCGTCAACGTGCAAAAAATGGCGAAAATTCGGCTCGCCGGTCCGAATTTTCACGAATGTGGATCCGAGGTGAGACGAGTGTCCACGATGATGGTAATCTAACCTCAAAGTTACAGTAAAATCGTGCTACCGGCGAAAGAAGAGTACAAATTCTGTGATTTTTGCAACAAATGGGTTTCGCAAGAGAATTTGCACGATCTGTCAAAGCTGCCAACGTGAACATTAATGTGGATAACTGGTGTTCCTGCTGGTAAGTCACTTAGAATAATCAGTAGGTTTCCCATTTTAGTTTTACTGAAGGATTGTTTCTATTGCAAACAACCAGGAAAAACAAAGTAACCGCTACAATAAAACAAAAAATCATGTATCCATTGAATTTATTTCATTTCTAACAAGTTCCGCCGCCGCCTCCATCTCTAGTCCTTCTAAAATGTACAGAAAATTATCCAGAGTGGCGTCTTCATCATCGTCGAACCACAACTGCAACATATTCTTAGCTTGATCCACCTCTTTGACGTTCTCCTGCGTGAAAAATTGAATTTCGTCGGTTTTAAAACCCAACTTATTGGCCAACTGTTTCCAATTGGGGGCCACTTGCTCACTAAATAATTGTAGCTGAGCCGGGGTAATTTTATAGTCGACCCTTGTACTTTTCTCATCCATGAATTCTTCCCCTTCCGATGGTTTGATATCTTCTGCCCCCTCATCCACTTGTGTGTCTTTAAACAAATTTTCCTCCTCAACATCCGCTTGTTGCACCTCTTGTGAATTTTCCTGACTCCGACCTGGTTTATCGTGTGCGATTTTTTTAATCATCACTTCTAAATACGAAGACAATGGATCATTGTTCACAGAACTGTAGATGAAGAAATGGGGGCTGCGTTTGGCGAGTAACCGCAAAGCCCTCCACCCATAGTTGCCGTCTTTGAGCAAGTTGTCTTCATCTTTGACTGGAGTGGGTGCTTCCATTTGTGCTATAGCGTCGGCGAAATAATCTTCCAAAGTCGGAAGGAAGTCTCGTTCTTTGCCTTTACAAGCCTCTAGGTTGTCTGGACACAAGTTCCACAACTTCGTCAGTTCGGGGTTTCCCATGTAAAATTTATCCTGGCTGGAAGCGTCTTTGATTATGTCGCCCAACAGGGGGCGGTCGTCGGTTTTACGTTTATCGGGGCTTTCTAAAGCCACGACCGACTTTTTCAGCTCGGGACAACCATCGTTTTTCCAGGCGTTCCAGTATTCTTCCCGACTTAAAATATTGGAAGCTATTTCCGCAAATCTTTTACCGTCAGGGGGCGTTTCGCGCAGAAGGCTGTATACTTTGTCAGTGCTGTTTTGGATCCATTCTTTTTGGTCAGATTTGAGTTCGAAACTGTCGCTACAACGAAAAGTAGAAACGATGTTGATGGTTTGAACGATACTTACGATTTAAATTTGACTGAAGAAGACAAATACTGGAACAAAATGAGGAACTGAAGCAAAACTGATCTTCGGAAGTTGACGTCGTATAGTTGCAAATCCAGCAATTTCTGGCTGGTTAAGTACTTGGAAAAGTACATTTTATTCGTACTTTCGTTACAATAGCTCCCATTTTCAACGTGTTCAAGTTTGAGACCCTGGAACGTGTTTAGGACGCTCGTCGCATACTACAACCAACCAATGAGAAAATGATATTTCCAAGATTGAAGTCATTACAGTACAAAACAACTTCCACTGCACTTTACTATACAACTGATTCGGATTCCGGAAGAAGTCCTGCAGTGACCAGAACTTACAATAAAACGTAAAATCAATCACAGCATTTTTCTTCTCTTCCCCTTCAATATCCCCCACAGTATCCTGACTCGAATCCGTCCCGTACTCCGTCGTATTCTCCAAATTAAACTCGCTCACAATATTCAAACCTGACCGTTCCGAAAACGGGAAAAATTTAGCCAAGAAGAGCAAAATCCGCCCGCAGAAGACCGTCGCGGTAGACCGGGACAATCTCCTCAGCAAATCGTTGCACAACCTCAACAAGTTGTTTTTGCAACAACTGAAAAACAAGTTCTCCTTCCACACTTCCACGTTATTTTCAACATAGAGAAACATCTCCTGACACGCATCCAAAGTCAGCGCGTCGAAAATATCAGACAGGAGTACCACAGGCATCGTGGGGTTGCTGAGGTCTTTTCTGCAGCACAAAACGCTAAAATCGACGAATTCGCGCAACACCGCGACGTTAACTTCTTGCTCGAGGAGCTCAAGCAGCATGTCTCGGAACGCCTGATCCAAGGGGGCTTTGAGGTCGGCGGCGGTTTTCGTAAACTGTTTAGCTTTGGTCTCGATTGTTTCCGCGCTTTTGGTTTTGAAAGACTTGCGTAAGACATCCTGAAATGTGCGAAATAATGAACAGATATGTGAGGTTATGTTTGGGAAATACCTGGTATTCGATGCGGAGGGACTCGAATTTGCCCCCCATATTTACGTTTGTGATGTTTGACCAATTCCAGTCCTTATAACTTGTTAAAGGGGGTTAGCTTTGGTGATATTTTGCCAAAACGTCGGCGTCTACTTTATAACCTCCAAATTTAGTAAACAAAAACAATGGTAGGAATGTCAGTGGGTTAGTAACCAATCGTAAGCAATGAGGGAGTCACGTGACCACAAAGCCTGATTCGTATTTGTTGTGGTGTTGAATCGTTTTTATTTTGGGCGTAGATCCGCAAGGTGCGTTCTATTGTATGACCATAAAGTAAGGCGCTTTTTGTTTCCATCTTTGCGAACACACTCTACAAATTCAGATTTACTTCTGATTAACTCAAGCTTTTAATAACCACGATTTATGGAATGCTGTTAAATACAGAAAGAAATGAAAGTCACCACTGCAGCCATTTCTTTTATTCAAAAGTTTTATAAGTAATCACATCCATCCGGCATACTTGTAAGTTTCACCGCCTCAAAAACTGCCCTCATCCAAATTCCCACAGCGTGTGCCCCCACGTCTGGATATTTACACAACGGTAACTTCGTTCTTATAGCTGCTTCTTCAGCCACACTCACACCCAACCCAAAGGCTTGTAGATAATGTTGTCCTTTCGCCATTTCTTTACTAATGACTTGTTCTGCACATCTAATAGGATAGAACATGTTTACATCGTCTCTTTCGGTGGAGTACCTAAAATGAATAATTTTAAAGAAATGTGCCACTTCAATGTTACTACTGGTATAACTGTTGAACGGCATTGGCTGCAATCGAATACACTCTCGCCCATACAAACGGCGTCACGACTTCCTCTTCAGGTAAATCCCCGAAAACGTTGGCAGCAGTTTCAAACAGTACCCCATAAATTGAGCCCATAGCGCCGCCTATTGCCGACTCCGCCATTACGCCTAATTTTTTGAATAGGGCGTAGGGGCAATCAACGGAAAGTTTGCTATTGATTAACCGTTTTTGCACATGTTCGGCCATATTTCTCAATCGGCTACCCATATTCCCTAAGTTTTAATAATCAGTGAAAGTAGCCAAAAAAAAAAAAAAAATCACCCCGGCTTTTTTCTTGATCTATGGTGTTTAACTGGCGCTCACAGGACATCAGAGCTTCACAACCGAATTCTATAGCTTTGGCACAGATTTTGCTTTGGGTCTGGCCTAATTTTGCACCTTTAAAAATTTCTTGCTTACCAGATTTTTGTAATAAACCTGGGTTTTCTTCACGTTGGAATGTGATCTCTGGAAGGAACTGACAAACTTGGTGCCAACCTTACAAACAAAAAATTGTAAGTATGCTTTAGAAAAATTATTAATCAAACCAGATGCATCTGACTGTGCGTCCAGGTACTCAATGATCTTCATATCAAATATTTTCATGACTGTCAAATAAGCTGTTCTCAAAGTCATTGTGATAAAACTGCCGTAATATAACCGAATTATGGATACCCCCCACTCTTTCAGTTTCTCGATTACTTGTTTGACTAACCCGAGCTCAGCCAACCGACTTAAAGCCCTAGAAGTGTTTATGAGAATCACTGTGGGAACAGACGGGTGTAAACTCAAATTAAACTGACTCTTTTTATCAATGATTGTCTGAAACCGTTTCACGAAATCTTGTGTCAACACTACACTCTGCCTCTTTAGAAGTCCCACCTCTACATGCTCATAATGTAAAGGTACAGTTACAATTTTTTCCACAATGTTTTCATAGCAGTTGTATATTTCATCAAAAAAAAACCCTAGTTCGGCCATAGCCCCTAATACTTTCGCCAAGAGAATAAACCCACACGAGTACCGCACCTTCTCGTCGTCGCCCTTATAGTCGTCGATCGACAGCAATTTAACCCTTGACCGGCAGTCAGCGTTAGCTCTCTCCACCGCAAGCCCGAAGTTAAACAAATCAGGACCCGCTTGTACTATCACAAAAACGCCACAGTTGTCTCCTTCGTTCAACTCCTTGATAGTCCGTAAGATATCGCGCGAACTGGGGACGCTGTCTTCCCCTGGAAACCAGTCTTTGAGTTCGAGTTAAACTCCAGTTGCCTCTAATTACCGAGAATAGCCGCTGTAAGCATGCCTCGTCCCACACAAATGGCTTGACATAAATCGCCGCCGCCGAGACCGCCCCCCAGCAGGCGAACAGTTTTAAGGCTTTGGTAGCGCCTTTGAATGATAACATTACCGTAGTCCAGGAGAAACAGATCTTGATTGACGGCAGTCAAAGAGTGGAGAGCATCTCGAACCGTCACTTCGACTTGGGGGACCTCAGCTGAGGGAGGTTGGGGAGGCTGCTCCGGCTGTTCCATATAATTTAAAAAAGAAATAAATAAATAAATAATATGACAGAATTGACAGTTCTAGTGTAAATAAACAAATAGTGGCGCCATCTGCGACTGGTGTCTTTGTTACATAATTAAGTTTAAAAATCTTCAACGATGTCTTTAGCGGAACCAAAATAGATAAATTGAAAATTTTGATTTATTATTATTAGACGAAATGATTGTGTTTTACGGAAAACTATGCGCTCGCAAATTGACACGAACGTTAAGCTAAAAGTCCCTAGCCGAGAATGACAGCTGACATCGTTGACATGTGTGAGCTTGTCAGAAATTCCCGCCGTTTGCAACAAGTACACTAACCAAAAACTTTGTTTCTGTGTATCACTTTCAAAAATAACAACAAAAATGTGGAATACTTTTGGTGCGTTGAATTTTTCTCACTTTATTCGAATAAATCGTTTTTTTCGTAGATATGAGCGTCAATGGGGGTTTTGTCAACGACGGCGAGGGCGGCGGGGGCTCAGCCACCAAAAAACGAGAGGTAACGCTTCCAGGGTTAGTAAATCCAACTAATAACTTGATTGCAGCAAGTTCGACGCGTCCAGAGTGTAGTCCCCGTTTTTATATCATACATAACTGAGTGTTCGGATGAAGAATTCACATTGTATGGAATGCCAGTGCAGATGGTAAGTCACACTCTGTCTGCAGTTGTCAAATTTGACTCGCTGTCACTGTTCCGTTCGCTTAAATTGGCACAATGTCGAAAATCTACCACAAAACTATGTCTGTTCTTGACACTGTTGTTCCTGAGCGCTTGCAGCCCCTATGGCGACATCCGGCGGGCCCCAAGACAATTTTTTTCTGGGCGCCTATGTTCAAGTGGGGTTTAGTGCTTGCAGGGATCGGTGATATGATGCGTCCCGCTGGAAGTATAAGTCAAGCCCAGTGCTTGGCTTTGTTGTTCACTGGGCTTGTGTGGTCACGCTATTCTATGGCGATTATTCCGAAAAACTATCCTCTGTTTTGGGTTAACGTTTTTATAGCGTCAACGCAAAGTATACAGCTGTGTAGATCTATAAATTATCAGATGAATGAGGCGAAGTCAAAGTAAAAAGAAAAATGTGCGCATTGACATTTATTTGTTCAGTTTATTTAATAAATGTTTTGAGTTGTTTTTTTTGTCTTCGGATTTTTTATTATATGATTGGTTTAAAAGCAAAAGGAGGCGTGGCTTAGCGGTTGTGACGCAGAAATAAATTTCATACTACTACCATTGTTTAAGTATATTATAGTTGGACAACCTGTACGGACAATCACTTTCCCATGTAGAAAAGAATGAATATATATTTTACATCTCACTCGCTTCACTATGAAGTGGCGGTACCTTACGAAAGGGGGTATTGAGAAATCGAAAAACTGAAAAATCACAAAATTGAACGAAATATCAAAAAATTAGGAAATTAAAAAATTGAGAAACAGAAAAGTCAAAAAAGCAGAGTCTAAAAATCGCAAACTTAAAAAATCGAAAAATTGAAAAATCAAAAACCTGAATAATCGAAAAATTGAAGAACTGAAGAACTGAAAAATAATAGATTAATTGAGAAATCCGAAAACTAAAAATTCAGAAACGTCAAAATTTTAAAAATAAAAAAATATTGAAGAACTGAAAAATCGAAAAATCTAAAATTTAAAACATTGAAAAGTTAAAATATCCTAAAACTGAAAAATGGAGAAATCCAAACATCAAAAAATAAAAATAAATAAATAAATAAAAATCTAAAATTTAATAATCGAAAAACTGAAAAATCAACGAATCGAGAAGTCGAGAATTTAAAAAATCGGACAATTGAAAAATCGGATAAATCAAAAATCGAAACATCGAAACATTGTAAAAATCAAAAGACAAAAAAATCGAGGAGTCGAAAAATCGAGAAGTCGAAAAATCAAAAAATTGAGAAACCGAAATAGGCCAAAATCGAAAAATCGAAAACTTAAATATGGAAAAATTGATAAAGCGAGAGATTGAATAATCAAAACATCGAAACATCCGAATCTCAATGAATTGAGATCTCAAAAAATTTAAACATTCGGAAATTTAAAAAATTAAAATATAGAACTGGAAGCTCGAGAAACCGAAAAATCTAGAAATTTAAAAATTAAAATATGAAAAAGTTGAAAAATTGAGAAATTGAAATAAAAAACAAAAAACTGAAAATCCAAAAATAAAAAATTGAAAAATCTAGAAGTCGAAAAATGAAGGAATCGAAGTATTGAAAAATATCAAAACTGAAAGAAATATCCAAAAATTGAGAGATCGACAAACCAATAAAGCGAAGTCAAAAATCGAAGAATTGAAGAACTGAAAAATCGAAACTTTGAGAAGTGGGAAAATCAAAAATAGATTAATTGAGAAATCAGAAAACTGAAAATTTAACGCAAAAATTTGAAAAATTGAAAAATTTAAATACTGAAGAACTGAAAAGTCAAAAAATCGAGAAATCGAAAAAACTAAAATTTAAAACAATGAATAATTAAAATATCGCAAAATTGAAGAATCGAGAAATCCAATTCAATTTGAAAAATTGAAAAATTGAGAAATTGGACAATCAAAACAATGAAACATCTGAATTGGATAAATTGAGAAATTAAAAAATGGAATAATCGAAAAATTAAAATATAGAAGAACTGAAAACTCGAGATATCGAAAACCTAGAATTCTAAAAAATGAAACATTAAAACATCGAAAAGTTTAAAAATTGAGAAATCGAAGCATTAAACAGTCGCAAAATTGAAAAATCTAAAGTTTACAATAAATTGAAAATCCAAAAATGAAAAAAGCGAGAAATCAAAAAAATCCATCAATTCAAAAATCGAAAAGTCGAAAAACTGAAATATTGAAAAATCTCATAACTGAAAGAAATATTCAAAAAATTGAGAAATTAAAAAATTGGAAAATTGAGAAATCGAAAATTAAAAAAGCAAAATTAAAAAATCGAAAAATTGAAGAATTGAAGATGTGAAAAATCGAAACTTTAGGAAATCCAGAAATAGACAAATAAAAAAAATACTTTAGCAATCGGCAAACTGAAAATTTAGAAACGTGAAAATTTGAAAAATTGAAAAATCGAAATATTTAAAAACCGTAAAATTGAAGAGGACAAAAATTGAGAAATCATATCATTGAAACATCCAAAGATCGAGAAATCGAAAAATTAAAAAATCGAGAAATAGAAAATTTAAAGAATGGAGGAATCGGAAAAGCCCAAAATTGAAATATTGAACAAGTGAGACATTTAAAGTTGAAAAATCGAGAAATCGACAAGCCGAAAAATCCCAATAGCGTATTTAGGTATACTATCCTCAAACATATTTGGCGTTTATGACTTCACACCAATTTGACTCCCATTATAATTCAATAGGCCGTCACAACCGGATGTCTTAAACCCGCTCACCGATACCTACCTGAAAAGACCTTTTCTGGTAAAAGCACAGGGCAGGACTATTCTACTTTTTAAAATTTAAATAACATTATAAATTGGAAAATGTTGATTTTTTTTTCCAAAAATCTTGACGTCTAAGGTGAAAACTCGATACGGATATTTATTTATTTATTTTATCTTGTTTTCGAACTATAATAAACATTTCAAACAATGTCTGTAACTTATTTTAATGTAAATTATATTCATGTGGTTAACAAAATCAGATGTAATATTAGTGTGATTTTGACCTTATTCTAGATTTTATTACAGCAGAACGGCGTATCCTTTTTAAATTTTAGAAGTTACGGAAACTAGTTCAAGAAACAATTAGTTATCTCGTATTTTTGGAACAAAATCTACCAAAATGTCCGATAACAGCAATTGTTTTTCATAGAAACAAACAGTCTTCAAAGCAGCCTTTAACAACTCGATATTACAAACATGCCTGTTAAGTTCTTAATGCGTTTTTTTCTCTCTTGTAATTATTTGTAATGTTTAAAGTTTATGTCATTCTGTTATTTACTTTGAACATATATTTTCATTTTGTGTTAATATTTTTGTAACACCACGAATCTAAATTTTACTTAAAATCTTGTTTTACTTTAATCTTGTAAAACTAAACAATTACACCAGTTTAAAAACCCTTGGAAAGTTTCTGTCAGTCTTCAGATATAGTCAAATAAAAATAGGCGTCAAATCCATTTAAATTCAATTCTTTCGTATCACGTTACAACGCGTTGCTTCATATTTTTTATGTCAAGTATATTTTCATATTTTGTACATATATGTTTATACACATTACTGTTTACGGAACAATGTTAATTATGGATTTATGGATAACTCCTCGTATAAGAGCAGTGTGAAGGGTGTTTGCCTTTGCTAATGTTTGATGGCGCCATCTGATGTAGAGTAAAATAAACCTAATACATTGGCTCACTGTAGTGAAAATGCGCGTTGACGAAAAATTTGTCCCACGCCCCCTGGATTCCTTGTCCTAAAGCTCACTATTTAGGCGAAGTAAAATTTGTATTAGGTTGTCCAACTATAATATACTTAAACAATGCTACTACTATAAGACTGGATCATACGTGCCACTAATTAAGTAAATAAAACCGCTCCACTTTTAAGGTGGACATCATAGGCGTCCTTCGAAACTTCGACGTCCAATCCACCAAAGCCACGTGCCTCATCGAGGACCAAAGCGGCTCAATCCAAGCGATCTTGTGGCTCGAAACCGACGGCGTAAGTGCAATTTTCGCAAACCTTGATCAGGTACTACGTTCAAACCCCTAGGACTCGATCAGCGCCCTCCCCCCAGTCAAAGAAAACTGCTATGTCCGAGTTTTCGGCTCCATCCGCACCCAAGACGGCTCCAAAATGATCATGATCCTAAAAATCATCCCAATCGATGATTTGAACGTCGTAACCCACCATCGCCTGCAGATAATCCACGCCAAAGTGTACGCAGAGAAGTTAGCCACAGGTGGGCTTCCAGCCACTCAACCGGTTAATCACGCGGCTGCGACCAACGGCACCATGAGCTTCGGCGATATTAAAATCAACACGCCGCAGGAGAATCCACATGGGCTTAAACCCATCCAGGCTAAGATCATGTCGCTGTTGAAGAACACGACGAATTATATGGGGATGGCGAAGAGCGAGATTTTGGCGCAGTTTGATTCCGCGCAAGCGAGGGAAGTTAGGTAGGGTTTGGGTTTTTGGGTCGCGGGGAGTGTTAAGTTTTGGTTGTTGCAGAGCCACCTTGGACTTTTTGCTGGACGAAGGGCACGCGTATACCACGTGTGATAATGATCATTATAAGGCGACGGATGGGTTTTGATACCAGAAGTGGGTTGTGTGGGTGATGCGTGCGTTTTCTTTTATTTTCACTTGAGGTGGAGCTTTATTTACCCAATTTATCTTTTAGTTGGATGTTTATAGTGTAGAAATTTTACAGTGATGGCAAACTTGTTTTAGTACCAATACAACAAGTACAAATAACCTAAAATTGTGTTTTTTTCACTAGCGGCCATAAAGCATGCAAATGTCGACTTATTTAGAGGTAGCAAAGTTCAAAAAGAAGATTGAGGTTATGTACGAAATACTTGATGTGATTATTTCTTAAAAAATGAATAAATGTGTGCTACTAACATTACTTGAATATACGCATGGTAGATAAAATGATTAACTCAGTGACAAGTGTAAACGGTTTTCTTTGTGTCGAAGATTTAGATTAAGTTTGATTAGAAATCAAAGCAAAATCATGTTGCGTCAAAAAATGTAACGTTTATTTTTTCAATTTATTGTCTTATGGTTTCTACTAGTGAAAAAAAAAAGTATATTAAGGGGACTCGCTAGACGAGGTATAACATTTTTTTGGTTTTTTGTATGAAAAAATGATATTAATATAGATGTATCATACATCAAACTGCAGCTTTTTTCATATTCTAGAGCGCAGAGACCAGTTCAATCAACTAAAAAAATATGGCTGAGAAATATCGTAAAAAAAGCACCATTGTATGTTTTCTTTTCAAGTTTTTTGAGTCATAACCATCATAGAATCGCTTGAAAATTCGCACATGGATAAAACATTACTTTTTACAGGGCGCAGAGTCATTAAATGTTTGTTAGTGGTACAATTTGTTTAAATAATAATGTGTTTATTAAAATCAAAATTTACCACAAATTAATGCAAAATACGTCGAATAATTTTAACAGAAATATCAGAGGAAAATTAATGATCTATTGGTTAGCAGAGTTTTTAACAAAAACTAACAATTATTGAAAAAAATGGGTATCAATTCGACAGAATTTGAGCAGTTAGTTCAGTACTTTGCCGATAGGAGCACCACTAAAATTTACGGAAGCGACTTTCCAGGTAAAACCCTTATCGCTTGCTTTACCATAAGCTGATTGTTAGAGTTCTCGGCTGATTTTTCTAATTTATGACAAGGAACTCAGTTTTATAACAAGCCGCCAGGACCGGCCGTAGTAATCTATTGTTAAAGAAATTAACTTTTACGCAATGAGGTACTATCATAAAACCGAATTAAAACTGGGGAATTATAATATTTTTACTCCACTCAGGATCCTGAATTCAATACACATGATTACTAAAAATTCATTGTAATATTATTGTTAATACATATTTTGCTTTCTTAATTAATAAAACTAATAAACATATTTATAATAATAATAAAAAATACATAAAATACAGCTTTTGTTTAACACGTATAAGTAGCTAAGTGTATCTACTACTTATCCCAGAAAGGAGGTGTTTTAAAAAAACCCTACGCTCAGTAACTTCTCCCTTCATTGTTTACTCGAAAAAAGTGCTCGTATATGTTTTCATTTGCCGAGAGATCATTTTCAAAATATATTTATAATAAAGATATGCAAGTCTTGGTGATGAAAAATGTACTCCTAATAAATTATTAAAGTACATAAAAAATTGAAACAAATTTTATTTATTTTAAAAAAATCTCTCGCAAAGGCAGGTTCCTCTTTCTTCTTGAATCAATTATTTCGGACAATAAAGCGCCAAAGCAAAATCTGCCAAGTTCATCTGCCATCTTTTTACATATATTTCTTCGTCTTTATAAATTTTTACTATATTTATTCTTTGGGTGTCCATACAACAAAATAAACTTGTGAAATACCCGTAACAAGCATTTGTCCCTGGACTTGAAAGTAGTAATCATGATTCTTTTTTTAGTTTCAATTCTCTGTCTGTCAATGTACAAAATTTGATTATTTTTTTTCTAACCGCTTCTTCGGAAGACAAATCTTGCGATTTTGAAGGGCATTTAATTTCGACTAATGCACTCCTATCCTCTAGAACCCTGTCTGGACTAGCAGCTAAGTAAGGAAATTGTTTTGAAATAAACAAGCCACACCGTTCAGTTTTTATATTTTTATTTATTTCAAAACACTTGACAGCTTTTTCCTCAATTTGCTGTCCATAGTATGGATGACTGTTACCTCTAAATGTACTGTAGTACAGAGACTCCACAGTTTTAGCTATTGCTGTAGTCGGTCTAAGTTTGTAAATACGTCCAAAATTTGAAACCGTAACCCTAATTTCTCTTTCTTTTGCCCAAATGTGCCTGTTGCCTAGTGTCTATTTCAATTTGGTCTAAATTCAAAGATAATTTTCCCAAAAAAACCTCTTTGGCTGTCACAAATGTTTCTACATCCATGACAGGATTTTCTAAAAAATATTTAAACCATAATCGCAGTTGGAACCAGCATACGTAAATTTTTTTACGACATATTTTTTACGAATACTTTGTCTAAGACGAGCTTGTTTTATAGACGAACAATATTTTTTTGTTATTAAACCAAGACCGTTTTAATCACAATATATTTACTTATCCCCTCGAAAAAATTGATGACGTCACCTCAAAATTTTGCTGAATAAATCCTACCTAAATTGTATAAAATATGATGAGTCTCTTCTTGTAATTTATCATTCCAGTCGTATTTTTTGGATTCGGATATACAGGGTGACTCAAAAAATTTAATGAATGCGCAAATTTATTTTATTGATTTAATCAGGAACTACAAAACCGAATGCTTTGATATCTAATGTAAAAAAAAACATAATAGGCATGCAGTCGTCACGTTTCCGATAGTGAAGGAAGTACTGTCTAAACTCTTTAGACCAATTTTTTTGATTTTCCCATTTTTCCATTTCTCAATTTTTCAATGTTTCAGTATTTCAGTTTGGGATTTTTTCACTGTTTCGATTCTTTAATTTTCCTTCCATTTTTAGGTTTTTCAATATTTCAGCTTTGGAATTTTGCAATATTTCGTTTCTTCAATTTTTCAAATTTTTGATATTGTGTTTTCTCGGTTTTTAAATTTTTCGATATTTTAATTTTTCAGTTTTTAAAGTTTTAGGTTTTTAGATTTCTCACTGTCTCGAGTTTTCGATTTTTCAGTTCCATGATTTTTCAATTTGTTGATATTTCAGTTTTGAAATTTTGCAATCTTTCGATTCTTCGACTTTCGATGTTTGATTTCCGAATTTTTCGATGTGTCGATTTTTTTACTTTTCCGATTTTTCAATTTTGCTATTTTTGAATTTTAAATTTTTAAAATTTAAGATTTTTCGATTTCTGGATTTTTATTTCACTTCTTCGAGATTTCAATTTTTCAACTTTACGAATTTTTCAGATGTTTTGATTTGTTAATCTTTCGATTTTTCGACCTTCCGTTTTAGACTTTCTGTTTACAATATTTCGTTTTGTTAAATTTTTTTTTTTTATTTCCCGATAAATCTAGATTTGGATATTTCGATATTTTGGTTGTTCACTTTCTCGATTTATGACTTTTTCGATTTATAAATTTTCGATTTTTTATTTTGACCTATTTCGCTTTCTCAGTGTTTCCATTTTTTCATTTTTTATTTTCCGCTTTCAGATTTTTCGATTTTGGCCTATTTCGATTTCTCAACTTTTCGATTTTTTGACTTCACGATTTCGATTTCTCGTTCTTTTTTCATTTTTCAATTTTTAAGTTTTCGACTTCTCGATTTCTCGATCTTTCGAATTTTCGATATCTCGGTTTTTCGATTTTCCAGCTTTTCAATGTGTCGATTTTCAATTATCTGATTTTTGAATTTTTTGATTTTTTAAATTTAGGAGATTTGAGTTCTCGATTTTTCGATTTTCGGTTTCTAAATTTTAGATTTTTGAGTATTTTATTTTTTCGATTTTTTGAGTTTTGATTTTTCGATTTTCAGTTCTTCAACATTTCTATTTTTCAATTTTTCGATTTTTTGACTTCACTTTTTTGATTTTTTGATTTTTCAGTTTTTCAATCTCTTACATTCTCAATTTTTGGATATTTCAGTTTTGAAATTTTGCAATCTTTCGATTCTTCGACTTTTCGATGTTTGATTTCCGAATTTTTCGATGTGTCGATTTTTTTACTTTTCCGATTTTTCAATTTTCAGGCTTAGATTTTTTTTGTTGTTCAATTCTTGGATTTTTAAAATTTTTGTTTTTTAAATTTTCCTATTTATCAACTTACTGGGAATGAATTTTTAGTTTTTGATACCATTTTTTTTTTCAAAAATTTTCAGTTTTTCAATTTATTAACTTTACGATATTTCAGTTTTACGATTTTTAAATTTTTTTATTTTTTAGTTTTCAATTTTTGACGTTTCTAAATTTTTCGATTTTTCAATTTTTCGATTAACTGATTTTTTGATTTTCCCATTTCTCTATTTCTTGATTTTTCAATTTTTCGATTTCTGGATTTTTCAATGTTTCAGTTTTGGATTTTTTCACTTTTTCGATTTTTCAATTTTCCTTCCATTTTTCAGTTTTTCAGTATTTCAGTTCTGAGCTTTTGCAATGTTCCGGTTGTTCAATTTTTCCATTTTTACTTCCCGAGCGTAAGCAAAGGAAGTATTGTAATCGAGTCCGTCGGCCGACTCTCTACTTTTACGTTTTCTCGATCTTTCATGACCCCTAGAAGACGAAGAAATAGATCTCCCATTTCCGTCTGTCTGTCCGTCTGTCCGCCCGTCTGTCCGTCCGTCTGTCCGTCTGTCCGTCTGTTGTCCCGGATTTTTATTAGACAGATAATCTCCGAAAGTACTGGACCGATTGTTGTGAAATTTTGTACTTATATTAGGAATATCATGTAGATGGTAAAACGCTAACCAAAATTTGTCTAATCATCCCCACCACTAATGCGATGACGTCACTTCAAAATTGTACATAGTAAATGGGTTTTCAATTGTATAAAATAACATAGTCCTACACATGTAGTTTACAACTCTGAATCGACTTTTCACCCGAAACGTCCAGATTTTTGAAAAAAAAATGAAAATTATAAAACAACATTTTGAAATTTAATTTTTAATCTGCTAACCAGAATGCTTTGAAATGTTGTAGATGTTTTAAGGCTATAAAGAGCATCATAAATCTTTAGTCAAAAAATATTTGCTTATCCCCTCCAAAAACTTGATGACGTCAGCTCGAAAGTTTGCCGAATAAATCATATCTAAAATGTACAAAATATGATGAGCCTGTACTTGTCATTTATCACTCCATTCATATTTTTTGGATTTGCATATACAGAGTGACTCAAAAAAATTAATGAATGCGTAAATATATTTTATTGATTTAATCAGGAACTACAAGACGGAATGCTCTGATATCTTGCAGATGTTTTAAGGTTATAAAGAGCATAATAAATGTTTAGTCAAAATATATTTGCTTATCCCCTCCAAAAACTTGATGACGTCAGCTCGAAAATTTGCCGAACAAATCATATCTAAAATGTACAAAATATGATCAATCTGTACTTGTGATCTATCACTCCATTCATATTTTTTGGATTTGCATATACAGGGTGATTCAAGAAAATAAATGAAAGCGTAAATTTATTTTACTGATTTACTCAGGAACTACAAAACCGAATGCTTCGAAATTTTGAAGATATTTTAAAATTATCATAAGCATGGTAAATTTTTGATCAAAACGTATTTGGTCGTCCCCCCTAAAAAATTTATGATGTCACCACAAAATTTTGCTGAAAAAATCCTATCTAAAATGTACAAAATATGGTGAGTCTCTTCTTGTGATTTATCATTCCATTCAAATTTTTTCGATTTGCATATACAGGGTGACTCAAAAAAATTAATGAATGCGCAAATTTATTTTATTGATTTAATCAGGAACTACAAAACCGAATGCTTTGAAATCTTGCAGATGTTTTAAGGTTATAAAGAGCATAATAAATTTTTAGTCAAAATATATTTGGTTATCTTCTACAAAAAACTGATGACGTCAGCTCAAAAGTTTGCCGAATAAATCGTATCTAAAATGTAACAAAATATGATGAGTCTGTACTTGTGATTTATCATTCCAATCATATTTTTGGATTTGCATATGCAGGGTGACTCAAAAAAATTAATGAAGACGTGAATTTATTTTATCGATTTAATCAGGAATTAGAAAACCGATTGCTTTGAAATCTTGGGAATATTTTAAAGTTATTATAAGCATGGTAAACTTTTGTTCAAAATGTATTTGTTCATCCCTCCTAAAAAAATTGATGACGTCACCCTTAAATTTTGCTGAATAAATCCTATCTAAAATGCAAAAAATATGATGAGTTTGTACTTGTGATTTATCATTCCATTCATATTTTTTAGATTTTCTTAAGAGGTGGTTCAAAAAAATTAATGAAGTCAATTTATTTTATTGATTAAATTAAAGGCAACACTTATTATTAGTATTACACCCCAACCAACCCAATTTGGTAGACACAAAATTTGTTAAAGGAAAAACTCGGTTGAAACATAAGGGTAGCACGCTTATTTACATCGACTTTAACATTACAGACCTGCATTTGTTTTATGCGCTCACTTGGTTCCGCGAATGTGAAATAAACATGTTTATAATCAACCAATTGTGAATTTCACCGTCAAGAATTAAAATAAAACCCAATGTTTTATATAATAAGCGGAAGTCGAAGCAATAAAACCGATGGTCGTTTTGTTTACAGTTTCTCTGTTTGACTCTCACGTATGCTGTTACGCCTGTCATCTTAAATTAAGAATGTTTATACATACACGATTTTCAGTTGCCTCTGATACGTATACGTGAGTAAATTGTTTCGTTATTTTATTGATTATTACAAATCAGTATTCAAAACGACCGAATTCATTTTCCCGAAAATTTGAGAATATAATAATTTTATTCTTAGTATTACACTACATCTATCCCAACTGATATACGTGTCCTTGCAAAAATGTTGATGACGTCATCGCAATTTTTTTTTAAATTCCCACTACAAAAATGTAATGAGAAAAAAAACACAATAGGCATGCAGTCGTCAAGTTTCCGACAGCGAGGGAAGTACTGTCTAAACTCTTTAGACTAATTTTTTGATGTTTCGATTTCTCTGTTTTTCAATTTTTCGATAGGTATTTTAATTTTTCAATTTTTAAGTTCTAGATTTTCCGTTAATTTTATTGTTTTCCTTGATGTTTTGATTTCTCGATTTTATTCGATTTTTCAAGTTCTCGGTTTAGGTTTTTTGGTTTTCCAATTCTTCGATTTTTAGATTGTTCAATTTCTCGATTTATAGATTTTTCAATTTTTTGGTGTACCGATTTTTTTCGTTTAAAATGTTTCAATTTTTCAATTATTAAGTTTTCGATTTTTCAATTTTGGTGTAATTTGAAAACGGTATTAATAATACATTTATAGGCGAATAAACTAATAGACGGGCTTGATAAGCCTTGTTTGCTCTACAGTGTCTAAATTGTGTTTGAATAATATAATAATTATCTCGAATATTAAAATTAATATGTCAAAAGAATACGAGAAATGATTATTCTGTGCTGAAGGTATGTTGTGGGCCGCCTGTCATAAATTATCATTTTCTGCATTATCGGCTTACGACGCTTTTATGACCCACGTCCGGTAGTCGTCTATCCCAGCGCCTCAGGTAGATTTTTTTTTTAAACTTGCCTCCTTAGATCATATAATAAATAGATACCACCATGGCGTGTTCTTTCCCTAGGACAGCCTGTGACGACATCCTCCTGTCACACATCTCTCTCGTGCATGGAGGGATTACAATGAAGCTATCCTTACCTGATCACTATTTGAATTTTGCGCGCCTAAATTTTAGGAAGTGTGTCTGAACTAACTTCGGAAGAAAGATGTTGACAGCTTGATTTTATAAATAATTCACAGTAGATAACGAAAGGAATAGTAAATTATTGGGCAGCAATTGTGATCCTTTATAACTACATCACTTAAAATAGGATCTTTGTTCTAAATTCTAAAATTGTTTTTTGTACAACAACTCGAAAGAGAGGTTAGAAGAAACATCTGTCAAAAGCGATTTGTTGCGCTGGTGCGGTACAAGGATGGAAGTGAAATAGACATATACAGATGAAATGCATATAACAAAGATGAAGATGTGGTGATCACACAAGGATAGCATTATACTACTGCCCTTGACGTAGAAAACCACAACAGATAGCTTCATGTCTAGTCACAGCTTTCAGTTTGAGTATTGTATCTATTTATTATATGATCTAAGTTTGCCGCTCGTCTAGCGTTTCCCCTTAACCACGGTTGTAAAGCCACTTCTAGACCGAGCGCAAATTAGAACCCGAAACGCGTAATTTGCGCTCGGTCTAGAATGCTTAGCTTTGCAACCTTGGCTAATAATATACAATTTTTTTCACCTGATATGAAATCGTGAATGAGGACAAGAAAAAAACGAAAATCGAATGATATGAATTTCTTTTTTATTTTTCAAAAATTTTAACAATGGTATACAAAACGTTAGTAAATTTCTAAAATATTCTAACAAGTTGATTAAATGCAGCGTTAAAACATATCTAAATACCGCAACAAACCCTTGCGAGAATTTACGTAGCGCAACTGCCCTTTTCCCACCCGTCGCATTGCTTTGAATCAGTTGCACACGATAAACGTCTCCCTCAGGTCCGAAACAAGATATATGTTATTTGACATGTTTTACATGTTATGTATTTGAGCTAAATGCCACTAAAACTTAATAGGTAAATTGACAGTAAAACTGTCAACGTGATGACAGGAGTGATGCCAACCTCCGTTATAAAATTTCATTGTCATGGCAGTTAATTGGCACTCACTATCCGTTATTGTCATTACATAATATTCAAATAACGAGTTTTTACAAGATCGTATTTTAAAAAATACGTATTAAAATACGAGATTATCAAGCAAAACGCGCATCAATACGAATTCATAATAACAACTGCTTCGAAAAACATGCGGCAACCTTCGTAATTGGCGTAAGTGCGTAAAACGTGGTACATTGCGTGAAATCGACTTTTCTATACGAAAAAATGGAAAACTTTAGCTAACTACGCTACCTAAGTACTTGAGGAAGGATTTTTCGCATAGTAAAGTCTATCTATCTATCGTGATAGACAAGATAAGTGATGACGTCAGCATTATGTTGACGCGACTAATCTAATTGTGTGAGGTTAAGTTACAAGGTACTAGGTGTCACATTGACGTTTCTTAAATGGAAGATGTCTTCTCGACGTGCTTTCGTTTGATTCGACGTCGTAACCTCAAGTGACTGAAGATGTAGTCCAGAATGATGGAAACGAGCTCTAGTTTTTCGTCGATGATCCCGCCCGGAAACCGTAAGATCCCGAACCTCTCTCATAAGCTTTAGCCAAGTGATTTGTTCGACGGAATTGAAACTTGTATGGTGTTCGTAACGCGCTGATTCGTTCGTCCCTTGACCCACCCCCGAGCCATTTCGCCGACAATAAAGCAACCGAGTACAACAGGGAGAACCCACAGCGGACCCTCTGGTGCTACGACCCTGAACACGTCAAGCAGTTCGCTGCAGCTCCTCCCCGTCCGCCCCCAACCCCCTTCCATCACCCTCAAAACCAACATCTCGACCTCACCACTCATTTTGTCACTTCGGCAGTTTAAGAGAACTTTGCTGCTATAATACTGATCACAATAATACCAGTTATCGTAAGGCACAATATAATCATGATCTTCTTCTTTCGAGCCTTCGCTTGATACTCTGAGGCTTGCTTCAGGTCCCTGGTGGCGTCGTCGACGCGATCCCGTGTCAATCCGACTTGATACTCGATTCGATCCATCAGTTCTCCCTGGCCTTCCACCAGCACGGCCATGTCCAGGAACATGTCGTGCAACTCCTTGATGGACTTCTCGAGCTTTATCAGGTCGGCGTGTCTGGCTTCGATGTCGGCTAGTTGCTGCTTGGCTTGTCGGGTGTCCGTCATGATGTCGTTGGTGAAGACGGAAACTTCCCCCTTTTCCAGCATCTCGTCGATCTCTTCGGTGGTCGTCTGCTTGCCGGCGATTTCCAGCTGGCGCTTCAGCCGGGCCTTACAGCGGTCGCTGTAATCCACCTAGAACGTTGGGGTGGTTACTGGAAGCAGTTATTAAGTTAAACATGCGCTTATGAAGCAGAAAGTTAATTACTTTTGGCATTACTACACTTGCAGAAAAAGAAGATGTGATATAAGTGGTATAAGTCGAACTTGAGAAAAAATGGACCAAACACTTCAACTAATACATGACGCGTATAAACTACACCCCGTTTATCGAACAGATGGAGCTGTAAAAGTTATTAAGTGATATAAATATGGACATGAGAATTTGTTGAGAATGTTATCGTGTAATCTTGGATGCTCACTTTGGAGACACGCGATGACTCCATCTATTCGGTAAACGCACTATATATAAAACATTGCATTAAAGCTCTCTGATAATTACAAATGTGTTTATGAACAAGCTAAGATTAATGCCAACAACAAGTTTCTTAAACATCACCATAATAAACAACAAAAGAAAAATCCAAAGATATTCAAAATTCCTGCAACATCTACAAACACACTGGATAATGCATAGCAAAATAGTAATTTCCAATATTTAAAAAATTATCCGAAAATTTGTTAGTCATCAGTAAGATAAAACTTTTTGGCAATGACATACCCTCTAAGAAAAGAGAGGGTGGGTGGGCGGGGCTAGTGCTTGCTAAGATAAAACTGATTTTGGCAGATAACATACCTCCTAAGAAAATAAAGGGTACAGCGTATATCTTTTGGCAAAATTAGCCTTATCTTGGCAAGTATTTGCCCCGCCCACCCACCCTTTTTTTGCGAAGGTATGCCATTTGGCAATGTCAGCTATGTCTTAGCAAACACTAGCTCCGCCCACCCGAACTTGCATGCACTACTTGCAAAAATTACCCAATTAATTACGAATTAATTGAATTATGAATTGAAATAAAAAATCGGTACGAAATGCGAATTTTTAAAAACTTCTAAAAGTTTCGATATTTCAACGGTCGATTCCGGAAAAACGGTTGCAGTCATCAAAGGATCGAGGCCAGAAATGAGTTCTAGAGCTCGAAATCTACAAGGAAATGTATTTAGTCAAGTTTCGAAAATGTCAAAATTTGGCCGAAATTTGAAAAAATTTCATTTTAAAAAAAGTGGTCTAAAATTATGAAAAAATTCAGGGACGTAGATCTCAACATGCTGATTCCAAAAATATAGCGTGTTGATGGTCACGGAGCAATGTTTTCGAAAAAAACGGTACTAAATGCGAATTTTTGAAAATTTCTAAAAATTTCGATATTTCAACGGTCGATTCCGGAAAAACAGTTGCAGTCATCAAAGGATCAAGGCCGGAAATGAGTTCTAGAGCTCTAAATCTACAAGGAAATGTATCTAGTCAAATTTCGAAAATGTTAAAATTTGGCCGAAATTTGAAGAAGGGGGGACCATTGAAAAAATTTCATTTTTAAAAAAAGTGGTCTAAAATTGTGAAACAATTTAGGGACTAGAACTCGACATTCTGATTCCAGAAATATGGCATGTTGATGGTCACGGAGCAATATTTTCGAAAAAATCGGTACGAAATGCGAATTTTTGAAAATTTCTAAAAATTTCGATATTTCAACGGTTCGATTCTGGAAAAAGGGTTGCAGTTATCAAAGAAACGAGACTGGAAGTGAATTCTAGAGCTCAAAATCTACAAGAAAATGTATTTAGTTAAGTTTCGAAAATGTCAAAATTTAGCCGAAATTTGAAGAACCATTGAAAAAATTTCACTTTTAAAAAAGTGGTCTTAAAATTGTGAAAAAATTCAGAGACGCAAATCTCGACATGCTGATTCCAAAAATATAGCATGTCGATGGTCACGGAGCAATATTTTCGAAAAAATCGGTATGAAATTCGAATTTTTGAATATTTCTAAAAATTTCGATGTTTCAATGGTCGATTCCGGAAAAACGGTTGCAGTCATCAAAGAAACGAGGCCGGAAGTGAATTCTAGAGCTTGAAATATACAAAAAATGTATTTAGTTAAGTTTCGAAAATGTCAAAATTTAGCCGAAATTTGAAAAAGGGGGGACTATTGAAAAAATTTCACTTTTAAAAAAGTGGTCTTAAAATTGTGAAAAAATTCATGGACGTAGATCTCGACATGCTGATTCCGAAAATATAGCGTGTTGATGGTCACGGAGCAACATTTTCGAAAAAAACGGTATGTAATGCGAATTTTTGAAAATTTCTAAAAATTTCGATATTTCAACGGTCGCTTTCGGAAAAACGGTTGCAGTCATCAAAGGATCGAGGCCGGAAGTGAGTTCTAGAGCTCGAAATCTACAAGGAAATGTATTTAGTCAAGTTTCGAAAATGTCAAAATTTGGCCGAAATTTGAAGAAGGTGGGACCATTGAAAAAATTTCATTTTTAAAAAAAGTGGTCTAAAATTATGAAAACATTCAGGGACGTAGATCTCAACATGCTGATTCCAAAAATATAGCGTGTTGATGGTCACGGAGCAACATTTTCGAAAAAAACGGTATGTAATACGAATTTTTGAAAATTTTTAAAAATTTCGATATTTCAAGGGTCGATTCCGGAAAATCGGTTGCAGTTATCGAAGAAACGAGGCCCGAAGTAAATTCTTGAGCTCAAAATCCACAAGAAAATGTTTTTAGTTAAGTTTCGAAAATGTCAAAATTTGACCGAAATTTGAAGAAGGGTGGACCATTGAAAAAATTTCATTTTTAAAAAAGTGGTCTTATAATTGTGAAAAAATTCAGGGTCGTAGATCTCAACATGCTGATTCCAAAAATATAGCATGTTGATGGTCACGGAGCAATATTTTCGAAAGAATCGGTACGAACTGCGAATTTTTGAAAATTTCTAAAAATTTCGATATTTCAACGGTGGATTCTGGAAAAACGGTTGCAGTCATTAAAGGATCGAGGCCGAAAATGAGTTCTAGAGCTCGAAATCTACAAGAAAATGGATTTAGTTAAGTTTCGAAAATGTCAAAATTTGGCCATAATTTGAAGAAAAAAATTTCATTTTTAAAAAAAGTGGTCTAAAATTATGAAAAAATTAAGGGACGTAGATCTCGACATGCGGGTTTCAAAAATATAGCGTGTTGATGGTCACGGAGCAATATTTTCGAAAAAATCGGTACGAAATGCGAATTTTGGAAAATTTCTAAAAATTTCGATATTTCAACGGTCGATTCCGGAAAAACGGTTGCAGTCATCAAAGGACCGAGGCCGGAAATGAGTTCTAGAGCTCGAAATCTACAAGAAAATGTGTTTAGTCAAATTTCGAAAATGTCAAAATTTGTCCGAAATTTGAGGAAGGGGGTACGTACCATTGAAAAAATTTCAATTTTAAAAAGTTGTCTAAAACTTATGAAAAAATTCAAGGACGTAGATCTCGACATGCTGATTCCAAAAATATAGCGTGTTGGTGGTCACGGAGCAACATTTTCGAAAAAAACGGTACGAAATGCGAATTTTTGAAATTTTCTAAAAATTTCGATATTTCAACGGTCGATTCTGGAAAAACGGTTGCAGTTATCAAAGAAACGAGACCGGAAGTGAATTCTAGAGCTCAAAATCTACAAGAAAATGTATTTAGTTAAGTTTCGAAACTGTCAAAATTTGAAGGGGGGACCATTGAAAAAATTTCATTTTTAAAAAAGTGGTCTAAAAATTATGAAAAAATTCAGGGACGTAAATCTCGACATGCTAATTCCAAAAAAATAGCGTGTTGATGGTCACGGAGCAACAGTTTCGAAAAAAACGGTACGAAATGCGAATTTTTGAAAATTTCTAAAAATTTCGATATTTCAACGGTCGATTCCGGAAAAACGGTTGCAGTTATCGAAGAAACGAGGCCCGAAGTGAATTCTTGAGCTCAAAATCCACAAGAAAATGTTTTTAGTTAAGTTTCGAAAATGTCAAAATTTGCCCGAAATTTGAAGAAGAATTTGAATTAAATTATTATAAGAAAAGTCACTAAAAGTCATTTTCTAATTCTTTTCAAACAGGAATAACAACCTCAAAATTATTTTAAATTTTGAGAACAGAACGAGATTCCAAAATTAACTCAAAAGCAGGTCAGGTCAAAATTTTCCAAAAATAGGACACCAAAGTCTCCCAAAATACTTTTCAATAAAAAAAAATCCACAATTATAGACCTCACGCTTATAACCCTCGACGTTTCGCGTCTCATGCTCTAATCTGTCTTCGGTCTATAATGATTGTCTTCACGACCTTAGCGTATAATATATTTTTAAACATTCCAATTGATATTATTAAACCGTAAATAAAGGAAGATGACACCATAACCTTCTAAGGAGATTTAAGTATTTAACAAAAGTTTGAAATTACGTCATCACGTTTTTGGAGGGGATGGATAGATGCTTTTTGATTAGTGGCTTACCATGTTCACGATAAGCGTAAACCGTGTGCAGTTTCAAAGCAACCGATTTCGTAGTTCCTAAATTAAATTATAAATCTTTCTCGTAAAATTTTGATTTTTTCCGAAAAATCTACAACCTAAGGTTAAAAATATGAGTACTTTTTCGTGTTCTATAAGCTGTGAAATTCAATTCTAAATTACCCTCAGTCATCTCCGGTGTCTCTGGAGTATGGTTGTATTTTGGCTGGTTCATTGTGTTTTGTCTAAAAATAATATTTGTCCGTACCGGAATTGAGGTGCTATTCACAAACTTCCTTTAGAGCTTTAAACTGACATCACCTGGGGAAGTTTATGAATAATGAACGAAACGTCGCAACACGTCCTCCGACAGCCACCTTACGACGATTTACAGAAAGAAATGGTGAAAATGTTGGGCTAAAACATTTTCTCATATTTAATGAAATTAGGTTATGAATGTTTATGACCAAAAAGCGTTTATGTGTAGTCTGCACACAGCATACTGGGTGTATAGCATGCTATATCTATTCTTACCAATATCTTTGGTGACAGGCGACGAGTCATCGATCGTCACACCAAAGCGGCAAACCGACGATTTATGATCTTTATTATTATTACTAAAAAAGTGATGAAAATAGAAATTAT